CAGGGCCTGGGCTTCAGAGATACCCGAGAATGCTCTGGTGCCAGGGTCTCGGATCCCTTTTTGCTTTTTTGGTTGCGCCACAGAAGTGGGCGCCGCTTCGTCACTCGCGTGGGGTGAGGTCGGTGGTGCAGCTGCTGCAAGGCTTCCTCCGAAACGAGAGCCCCAAGGCAAAGGGACATCGCAGAGACAAGAGCAGAATCGACTTCATCAGACTTTGATAGGGTTTAGGAAGACTCAGGGTCCCGTCCCCCAAAGCCTGATTACCCTTGGGACCCTGACAGGCAGTCCGATTGGCAGCCTTATCGCCGCTGAGAGCCATGTGCAGAGCCGAATGAGCGGGGAGTGCTGGTGCCATGTGGGCGTTTCAGATGTCATCATAGGGATCTTGATTACAAGGACCCCCCCCCCCCCCCGTCTTAAGAACCTGGTCTGCCCAGGTTGGATCGCTTCTCGGACAGTGAGGCTTGGACGGAGGTGCCCAAGCTTTCGCGGCTTCCTCAAAGCTGCACAAAAGAGGCAAGCTCGTCGCAACGGTGCCTGGCAGGTCCAAGGGGCGCTGATTGATTCCTGCTTGGCTGGGGAGCCCTGCTTTTGTGTTTCTTGCCGTGACCCTGCGCAGCGTCTGGATGCTTGCCCAGGCCCTTCTCTACATCGTCCAGGCTCCGGAGGTGCAGTGGCGCTGCCCGAGCCTCGCAGCTCCCGTCCTGGGGCGCATAGGCATGTGCGCGCGCGCATCTGCGCTGCGAGGCCTGAATCTCATCCACCTCTTTTTGGTGGAAGAGGCCGAGAGTGGGAGGTATCAGGCCCGCTGGCAGCCGGGAGGCGGCCCGTCGCAGGTGTTGTTGGTTTTTGTGCTTTTCTATGGGAGGCCACGGAGAAGACGCTCGAGCAGCTTGTGGCGCTCTGGTGCCTTGCTCAGAGAGCTTTTAAGGCATCGAAGCTCGGCGTTGAAGACTCGCAGCCAGGCGCCGGCCGGAAGAGGGAGAGCTCTTGATCCGCCATGCGCTCCTAGATGTGCTCCGTGCCTTGGTGCTGATGCCCGAGCCCCGGCATTTCAAACGAGCTCGTGGTTTAGGAGTTTAGGGCCCGTCACTTGCCAGGTCGGACAGGACCCGAAGCCCTCGCTTGTCGTTGTCGCCACCGCTCCTGTCCTGTTGAACCGGGCTCAGCTTCGAGGGCTCTCGTTGCAGGGCCAGGCATGCGAGCAACGAAGGTCTGACCGTGATATCAGACTGCTATGCCGCTCACAGAGGCCGTGCGCTTGTGAAATCACCGATGCCTCGGCCCCAGCACACCTTGGCAGGTCCTTCCTCGCCTCAGCGGAGTGGCTACGAAGCCACAGCAGCACTTCAGGCCATGCAGCAACTCCGCTTCCAAACCTCAACAAGTGCTCAACCACATGTGCTGCCGCCCACAGCCCGGGACGGTTAGGAGAAGTCCTTGCTGAAGATGGCTTATCGTGGGTTTGGGTTACCGGGTTGTTTAGGCAGGACTTCCGAGAGAAGCTTCTGCGGCAGTGACGTTTCATGCGACGAGGAGCACCATCTGATGTACGGGGGTTTCTCGATTGTGCATGTCACCAGCCAAAACTTGCCATGAGCGTCGTCGGTATTATGAGCGTCGTCAGTATTTGCGAAGGGAGTCTTCCTGCACGTGGCACGGTCTGCAGACTCCCCGGCCAGGCAGATGCAGAATCAGCGGCAGGCTCGCCGAGCTTGGTCAAGCTGCTGTTAAAGTTCTTCCTTGAGCAGACCTGCGTTCGAGTGCCATGACATACCGTGACTCTCGGCAGGAGCACTGGGCGATGCAGGCAGTGCCACTGCGACGCTGTTCGACTCGGGCAGTGCTTGCAGCTCAGTTGACCTGCGAGTTGTTGAGATGCCAGGATGTGGCGCCCGCCCGACGGATGGTTTTCGACTGTGAAGCCAAGGTTCTGTTTCTGGGTGTGCTGAGAACCGTGGATGTGGAGCAGGCCAGCCTCAAGATTCAGATCACTGAAGTGCAGATCTGCCGGCCAGCTCTCTGAAGAGCCTGGCAGGCAGCTCCACTGATGCCTTTCTTTCCCAAGCTTCTAGCGCAGCAGACTGCTCTGGGTGCAGTGCACTGAGCATCAGGTCTGAGTATCTTAGTACCTGAAGCACCAACTTTCCTGTTCCGCTGCATGCGGTGCAGTACTGGTATCAAGGGGCGACCACCTGAGTGGACGATGGACATTCTGCTGGAGCTGCCTGGCATGTAAAAGAGGGCTCCGAACATTGCAAAACGGAATCGTTCCGCATCTGTGCAAGCTCAGGTACTGCGCCTTGCACTGCTCGGGTGGTGCTTGCCCCAGCGCAAGAGATTGAAGAGAGGCTGCAGGGCCTTCAACGCCCCTTGACCAAGCGAAGCGCACTTCAAGCCTTTTGGAGGGTGTTGCGCCAAGCGGACCGCGAGGTGCGGCTGCTCACTTGGTACAGTTTTATCCCGCGCTGCTCCAGATTTGCTCGGGAGCTCAGCCGTGCAGCGAAGCTTCGCCTCGGAATTCTTCGGTTCCAGACGAAGGTCAATCACAGCTGAACCTGCCAGATCAGAGTCGCACCACCGACATGTGCCACAGCCTCAGCGACCATGATGCGTGCTAGCTTCGGGCCCGGACTCCGGTGCGGGCTTCAGGAGTGGAGGCGGATGGCAGTTAATCCCTTCCCCCTAATATTAA